CTTACTAATTCCTAGCATTTGGTAAATAATTATCTTACTTGTTTTCATTAATCTTTCTTACATGTGATAAGTGTAACTCACATTTATTTCAGTGTTCAATATTAGAAGTGTTTTAGATCTTTATTTAGAAGATTAGTGATGTTTTTGTAGTCAGAAATATTCTGTAGGAAATTAATTCTTGTTTATATTTGACCAGTGTTTCTCAAAGTGGGCAATAACGCCACCTTGTGGGCAATGAGTAAATCTAGGGGCGCTGGAGGCAGTATTGAACGGTGACCAAAGGCAAAATTGAAGTCACTAAAAGCCGTTCCCTTTCCTCTGTTAAACTGATAAGAGGAAACATTGCATTTAATGGTTTCCAGATATTGAGAACAATGTACGGTAAGGGCACAAAGTGTGAGATTCATAGAAAAGTTTTCCTAAGAATATTTCCAATCCTTTCTCACACAAGAGAAAATGGGTTAGGGGCGTTGGGTATAACTTTATGGAACAAAGGGGTCGGTGGATCAAAAAAGTTTGAGAATCACTGAATTAGACTATGGTAAAATTGGCTTTGTTATAATTTGTTTCACCTGAAGTTGCAATTTCCAAATACCTATAAATGATATTAAGTGAGGACTTACTGTATATACTTTCAGCTTTATATATTTATAAATTTATACATGAATAATAATAAAGATAATTTTTCTAACAATTTTCTTTTACATATTACATACTTCTAATATTAATAATTAATACAGATACTATGTCTTTGTTAAGCTGTATTGTTATTGTTATTATTATTATTAGTGTAAATTACTTAGTTGTAATGAAAGAATAAAAATACTCATAGCATTAAAAATGTGAAACTCACTCTTACCTAATTATTTCATCTGAAAATTATATGAAAGAATTAAAACAGGCAGAAAATTGGAATACTTATAAACCATGATTGATTGAAATTTAATTAAAAGATAATAAATAAAAATAGGGGGGCGTGTTCTTCCGTCGAGGCTACTGGCGTATTTTTCAGAGCACTCGGCTTTCTACACCAAGAATAAGAATTTAATCGTTTTTTTAAACGTTAACTATCACTAATAAGTTTAAAATTGTTATTATTTATTATAACTTATATTGGCAATAATAAAAATAATTACTATGCAACGTTCACCACTCAAACGAGGAAGACCTCCATTAAACCGTACCCAACCAGGAACAAAGAAAAACCAGTCATCTTCATCAAGTTGCAAAACGATAATGGACTTTAACTTTTGCCCTGAAGAAAACCTTCAAGAAGAATGCATCGAAGAAGTGAATTATAATCGAAAATCATCGCAAACTAGTGCAAATGATACTCCAGGTGAGTCAACTACTTCTGAACAAATTTTGACTAATAAACCGGACATTTCTTTAGACACCATTACTTCCGTGCTTTGGGACAAAATATCTGATTTGATAAATACAACTAACGATAAACTCTTTAACCAAATGGTAATTATCAAACAGGAACTTGATTTTATTCACGAAAACATTCGTGAAACGAAAGAAACTCAGAAAAAAATGGAAGCAGAGATTAATAGTTTGAAGCAAGAAATAGACAAATTACAAACGGATAAAGAACTTTTACAATTTAAAATGGACTCGTTAACAAATGAACATCGTTACAACAATATAATTATGTATAATTACCCAAATCATAAAACCACTTCAAAAGCAGAAATACTCAACTTTATTACTAATACATTAAATTTACAAGATATAACTCAAAAGGATATACTTGAGATAATTCAATTATCAAAAACTTCAAACCTAATAATTAGAATCACTTTTAATAATAACCAAACGAGAGATCTCATCTTTTCTTCATTTATACGTAGAAAACAACAAAATCTTCTTGGTGATTGGCAAAATGTACAGATCTCCCCGGATATAACTATTAACTCAAGAACTAGACGTAAAAATCTACTACCAATTTTTTATGAACTACGAAAACAAAATCCCCAGGTGAAATTACGAAACGATATTTTAACAATTGAGCGAGAAAAAATAACTTACAGCTTAAGAATGGGAAAATTGGTATATGTTGATACGTTTCTCCCATCATCAGGAATAACGACTTCATCTAAATGACAGATCAACAAGAGAGAGAAAACTGAATACTGCAAATCATGTTCTAATAATCAATATTTAACAATAATAAATTGGAATAGCCAAGGACTTAAAAATAAAATACCACAATTAAATGTCTTTAATTCAAAGCACGATCCGGATATTACTGCAATTACCGAAACCTGGGTAACCTCAGAATCAATCTATAACTCAAACTTCTTCGAAAATTATACATTGGTGTCAACTCTAGCGAAAAAACCAATAGGCCCAGGCCGTCCAAGTGGAGGCCTGTGTTTACTAATAAAAAAAGGTCTTTGTAAAATTCTACAGACAAAAAAATCTAACAACTTCATTCTGCTTCTTATTCAATTCATGAAACCAACTTTAAATAACACTACGAACAACCTAATAAATCTGATGCTCATATATATTCCACCTGAAGACATATCAACATTGAATGAAATATCTAAACAAATAGAACTTTGGCATTATACGACTCCTTACTACATATTAGTCGGCGACTTCAACGCGAGAATTGCAGAGAAAATGGATTCTAAATATACTGGTAATAACTTTTTAATACAAAATATCCGTCAATCAAAAGATAAGCACTTAAATAACCTCGGTCAAAAGCTAATTGAAGTAATAAAAAATCTCAAAATGTATATAATTAATGGACGGCTTAAGAACGATATTCCTGCAGAATATACTTGTCTAACTCACAATGGAAGATCAACTATTGATTACACGATATGTTCAGAATTGTTATTGGATTATTGCTTGAGATTTGATGTTCTTGATTTTGATATTTCGGATCACCTTCCTACAAAAACAACTTTTTTATNATGTTATATTGTTAAGTCATGTTGACTTACTGATTTATTTTTTTATTATGTTTCTTACTATATAATTATGTAAAATAAAATGTAAAATTATATTACTATATGTATACCCCCCAAAATAGGGGAAATTCCCTTGGAAATAAATTATTATTATTATTATAATAAATAAAAATAATTTTTTAATATCTACAGAACTATAATTCAGTTGACTATAGTAACATTACTTCATTGTTTCCAGAAAATAATCAGAACTGACTGGAAAGTGCATTATACACTTTGATATTTATTTCACTTGATTATATAATTCTATAATTTTTCAAACTTTTTTGATAAAAATTTTTTAAATTTTCTTTTACAAAGTACAATTAAAAATGAAGCATTTAGATTAGTTTAATCGAGCATTTGCTAGTTTTATTTGTTGTTTATAGTTTGTTTCATTTATAAGCAAATATCAAATTTTTCCAGCAATAAAGTTTTTAATTCAGTTTATTTAATCAAGTTTTCAAAATGAAAATTAATAATAATAATAAAAATATACTACTTAATACTGTAAATTATATGTTTAAGTAAACTTCTGATTAACCAAAATTACACTTTCAAATTACTTAAAATGTGTACTGTTTATCTTTTAACTTTTGAAACTTTTACAAGTTTCAAAAATTCAAAAGTTAAATGGTATTCTTTTAAAATTAACATTTGCTCTTCTAAAGAAGATTGACTTTAAACCAAAGAGTCAAAGTTACAAAGTTTGGCAAATATGCTTCATTTACATTAAAAAAATAAAAAGTAAAAACAAGCACAGAATATACTGTGATTACTCAGTATTCACTTGGTTCTACAACTATCCATAAATAAGAAAATCAGTAAATGCTCTCAAGTTCCTTATATATAATGACATAGTATTTGCATATAACTTAAACACATTTTCTCATAGTGTTTAAATCATCTCTAAATTTCTTATAATACTTAACACAATGTAAATGCTACATAATATAAAATAATCAAAATCAGACTCAACAAATTTTCATTGAAATTATTTGTGTTTGAACGTTCCATTATGAATGTTCCATTTATCTGTTCATTTGTTAAATATATTTGATTTAGATATTCACATTTGTTGAAGAAACATAAATACATTTATGAAAAATATGATAGCACCTATATTAACAATGCATTTGAAAAACATTAGAAAACTTCCATTCATTCATTCAGTTCATTCTAATTATATTAAAATTAGGATTAAAACTGAAAACTTTTATTTATTTAAAATCTTTCATTTAATTTTATAAGTTATAATTATATTTTGTAACAGAAATAAAATAATTTTAAGTAGAAACTTATGGTTCAACATTATTAAATTGTTTTAATTTTTAAATTAAATCTTGAATTTTTCAATCACTTTCCAGGTATTTATAAGCCACTGATTGAAGAAACAGGCTAATAGTAATGTAATTATGTCTAAAAATTTGTAATATTTAATTGGGGATTAAACAAAATTTTCCATTAGTTATATATTTATTTTTTAAATTTAGATATTAAATGAAAATGTTACATAAGAAAACACTAAAATAATTGTATTAAGTGTAATTTTCATGAATACATATAATTTATTTAATATAATTTTATTTTATTACTTTAATTGGAATTAATTTATTAAATTGCAAAGTTTTCATTCTATATATAGATAAACAAACTAAAACTTTCAAACAGAACATTCAAATTTCATATATAAAATTATTGATAAAAAATGTAAAATTGTTAAAGCACAATTAAATAATTTTTTTTAATTTCAATATTTTAAATGAAATATTAAAAAAATGATATGTACAGTACCGGTACATTAATTTATAGGAAATCACAAATGATTTTAATATCTTTTATTTTTTTATTTATAAATTTTAAACTTGAGAAAAAATTGTTTTTCTCTGCATATTAATAACAAATATCACTGAAGCTTTTACCAATGATTCTAATAAAAATGATAATAAAATAGATCCGAGTAATAGTTTTCCTTTTTTTTCTCAGCTCAGTCATAAAATTCTACTAGTATTCTTGCAAGTCACTACTTACACTAGGAAGGCTTACTTTGTTGGCTGTGGCATCCCGTGTGGAAATACCCAGCTTTTGGTGTTGTCGAACCTGGACAGGATAAATCACCTCAAAGAAACGACTTGGAATATTGGCAATAAGCCGCTCATTTTCTGGATACTGTCGCTTGAGGCGTTCTGCCTCAGCTGAAATCCAAAACATAATGTAAGAAAATTTTGTAGAAAAAAAAATTCATTAAAAATTATTTTAATTATTTTCATAAAGCATCAAAATCACTGTTATAATTTTACAAATTTTTAAAGAAGAAAAAAAAATAGAAATGTATAAATTAATAAAAACTAATTATGATTAAACAACTTCTAATTAGAATACATCTGAAATTACATATACTGTAATTAGATTTCAATGAAATTTGGAGGTTACATTCTTCAAAACATGGTAAACAATTCTGCAAAAATAATTAAAATTTTGACCATCAAAAAATGTGACAATACCATTTGTACCAATAAAATTTCAATAAATATGACAGCTAGTTTATTGCTATTTTATAAGTAATTTTTAATTAAAAATGTTAATCTTATTCAAATTCTAAAAAGCAAAACAATTTTATTACTGTTGCCCAGATTTTTCTTCTTTCCTAATAAAGCTCTACATCAAATTGGTAACAATGTCATAGTTGTTTGAGAATGTTGACATATTCAGAAATTACTATTATACTATCTTTCTCATCTCCTAAACATCATAAGTTAATCTAAGAGAGGCCTAGCCAACCCGCAGTCCATTACGTTAAATTGTGTGGCCCACTAAGCAATATTATATATCTATTAAAACTTTTGTTTCCCGTTATGTGTATACCAAAAGAATTAAATAAATGAAAATTTGCATGTGTCATTATTATAATGCACAAGTGCGAGTACAAACTCTTGGTATAACAATAAAATCTTATTCATTTTGTATTTGTTTTACTTTTTTTAAAAGCATGTTTGCCTAAATTGTGGCCCACCATAATGTTATGCATGATCAAAGTGGCCCACGAAACAATTTGGGTTGGCCAGGCCTGAACTAAGATATGAAGGGACAAGCATTTCTTGTACTATACAACATCAAGTGTTTTCCACATGTTCTAGAAAAATACAGCTTTCAAATCTCACTACAGTTCATTTATTACATCATATCCCATTTTACATAATTCTTATAATTTTACATAATTCTAAATAAACTTCTCCTAAGTTTAATACTTACTATTTATCTAAAACATACTAATAATACATTAATAATAATAATATATATTTAATAAAAAACTATATCAAAGTTTTCCTCCTTTTTTAATTCTAAAAACTGATTAAACTGTGAAGTTGATGTTAAAAATTAATTGTTGTGCTGAAATTAATACAGTAAGAAATAGTTTTGTAAAGATAATATTCATTAAAAAGTTACAATGAAACTATATGTTAAATAAATTGATTATTTACTTAAATTAAATAAATTTAGCTCCAATCAATTATGTACAGTGGCGGCCTTAGGGGGTGGCGAGCAGGGCAATCGCCCGGGGCCTCGCGCAACAACCAAGTAGAAAAAAGTTGATATTTAACACTTTTTATTTTATCCTTGGCTATTAGTTATAACAATAAAATAAATTTAATTTATAGTACAGTATATATTAATATTAATAAGTGCCTACTATTTCAATTCACATACTTTGCACAAAGGGCAAGGGCCTCGCAAAGATCTGCCGCCCAGAGCCTCGCAATGGATAAGGCCGCCGCTGATTATGTATAATACATATCTTCATCATTTGATAATTTAAAATTAATTAAAAATACATACAATATGCAAATATTATAGAAAATAAAAAGACAAATTATCTACATATTAAACAGAAACATTACATTTAATAATAAAACAGAAAATAACTACATTTGCAAGAGTAACTGCAAGAACAATAAAAACTGTTAAGCAGCATTATAAAAACCTTAAATCAATTGTGAAAAAAACAAATGAGAGTTGAACTGATGTATGTAACACTGATGACAGACGACAATACTCATATAAAATGATACTAGAAAAAATTAAACACATGTTTGAACTTTCAAATACTCAAGAAACTTTAGAAGAAATTATTTAAACACATTATTGATGTTTGTGCTCCAATTTTTGCTTTGTGGATTCTGATGATGAAATTTATGATTCTGAAAAACGTTTTAATCTGAATAAAAAAGTGAACTCCTCAACTGCTCCAACATTACATTTTCTTCTAGAAAAACATTATTTTCAACAGGAACTACAATACAACCTCTCAAAAATAACTGTAATGATGATCATCAATATATAAAAAATGAATCTAACTAGATTTAATAAATTGAATTTTAAATATAGGTTTTGATAGTTTACTTTCATCCACATTGACCTCAGATATTCTAAAAATAAAAAACTCACTTAATTTGTGCATTAATACAAAATTCTAACTAGTCTGCAAAGCTTTATGGTTTAGTTGGAAAATTACAACTCCAAAGTTAACTTGACAATTTTATATGATAAATATAAACATAGCATAGTTGTCAGGATTAAAATAACTCTAGTTCAAGTTGGCAAATACAGCCATTAATCTTTCTATCATTTACTGCTTAACAAACTGCATTTTACAATATAATCATTGTTACTGACATATAGAACCTTCCTTTTACTTCTCTTCTATTGATATTTGCTTATCACACAACACACTACTTGACTATTTCAATTTCATTTACCAAGGTCCAATTCACTCTGTTACAGTTTTGGAAAATTCCTTCTTCACATACCACACAACAAACTGACTAACCTGATAAAACTGAAGCTGATATTTTAAAAGAATCAAAAACATTTTAAGTAACCATTCTGCTTCTTCAACTGCTATAAAATAGTTAAAGAATTCATCTTTAATTAAAGCAATTAATTAAAAAGTAAAGAAAGAAATTTAAAAAATTTATCTTATACTAGATATGTAAAGTTATGTTAAATTTATAAACAGGAAAAATCTTTACAGAAGAGTATGAAATCTTACAGTACTTCTATTGTGGAAGTTTATGTTGAAGCACAAAATCAATATATGGTAGAATCTGCTTATTGTAATCCATTTTGAGAATCACCTATACTAATGATGATAACTGACCAATAATATTAAGTGAGATAAGTAAATAAAACTTATAATTAGCAAAAATTCTGGTTTTATTGACTCTAATAATAAAAACACATGTTAAAACAATTGAAAATGTATAATTTAATAATTATAATTTTTTTAATCACACTACATCCTACACACTTTTCCAGTGTGTAAGGATAATGTGACTGGTATATTTGTTTCCAGTTTTTCTACAAGTGTTTATATAATTTTTATTATTAATTAATAATAATTCATTCAATATTTCTTGACTGCTATTTTTGGCTGTACCATATCTAACAATTAATATATTGATAAAGTTAGAAATACCAGCAATATGAACTATTGTACTACCAGCACTAGTAGTAACAAGTAATTACATTTAAAGCATGATTAAGACTGATAACAATAACTGATAATCTACAATGATTATGAATTATCAATCCCATGTTGAGGCAGACAGTAGTACAAGATGACAGCTTAAAAATATCATTATCTTCAAGTAAATAGGCAACTATAACAAACTCTGATTATAATAAGCAAAATTTTTTAATTTTTTAAATGTATTTTTTTATATGGTTTGGGATATGTTAATTCTTATAATATTAGATGACTGATGAAAACATCCATGACTATAATAAGCAGATTCTATTTTATATAACAACATTTTATTATTTTGTATTATAAAATTTAAATAATATTGTTTTCTTTTTGGTTTTTATTTTTCTTTATATTAATTAAAATACATTTAAATTATATGTTAGATACTCTTAATGTGCATGTCTTCATGTTTACACTCAAAAGAAAGTTAAAAATGTTTGTTTTGTAATTAGATAATTTTTGTAATCAAATATATTTAATAAATTTTTTGATATTAATACAACTTGAATGAGAATGCAATGAAAAATCATTAAAAAAAAGTGAAGAGGCAAAATAATATTTACCAAATTCTAAACAAAGCAGTAATAAAAATAATAGATATATTGCTAATAGACTACAATAGTGGCATAAATCAAAAATCATTAAATTGAGATAAAAGAGTTCAAAGATTTTTTAAAAATAAAAATGTAGCTAAAATGCAAATAAAATTTTAAAAATTATAATATCAATTGTCCATTATCACCTTCTATAAAAAGCAAATTCAAAAATAATTACAGAAAAGTTTGTTTTCTGTGTTTTAAGCACCCTAACTATCTTAGTTTTGATACCTCTTGTGATGTATCATTATTATTGGATCTCTTTTTTTTCTTTTGTTTTTATTGTAAAGATCTTAGGAGTTGAAATGAGCTTACATTTTAACAAATAGACAAAAAAAATACAAAAAGAAATGTTAATAGTAAGAATTACAGTTAATTAGATTGAGGTGTAATTTTATTAAATATAGACCTCAAAAAAGAAAAACCTTTTTGGCAATACTAATACAAAGCAAAAAAATGCTATTATTGATGAACATAGGTAAACCCCTTTATTCACAATGCAAAATAAGCCAGTGTCACTGTTGCTATCTATGTATGTATCAACTAAGAAAAAGCAAGAATGATATGCACTCTGGTCAGCTATTACTGAACTAATAATTATGCCAAATAGAGTACAGTTTTACATAGCCAAATTATACCCTGTGATCAGAAAGTATCAAAAATGGTTCAATTTATTCATCATAATTTATTTTGTCCCCTTCAAAGTAATTTCCTCCCGCTACAATACACTTTATGCCAACATTTTTTCCAATTCTTGAAACATGCTTTAAAATCATTTTTGTGAAACCCCTTCAGCACTCACAGTGAATTTTGTTTTATGGCATCAATCAACTCAAAACTTTGACCACAAAGTTAAAATTTTAGTCGAGGAAACAGGAAAAAACTCACAATGCCATATTAAGTGAAAAAGTTTGTGGAACTGTATTTGTTGAATTTTTGGCCAAAAATTCAAAAACAACAAGAGCATTGTGAGCAGGTGCATTATCATGGTGCAAAATATCCATGAGTTTTCTCACCACAAATCAGATCATTTTATATGAATCGCTTCACACAGACAACACAAAATGCTCAA